CGCCTAGCAGAACACTGATCCAGACAACACCAGAGGGGAACATCACAGATGTTTATACAATATGATACATTTTAAAACCATTGTGGTTCCCCTGTCCCCAGGTAATAAGAGACAAAATGTGTCAAAATTTGGATTCTTGGCTCTCTGGCTCAGCACTACAAGGAATTCCCAAACAAAGTTTTCTGTGATGTCCTCAAGTGTAGAGGTTTTTATGGGGGCTGTTTTATTTATTTTTTTCATAGCAAGTGTTAAAAGCTCATTGGAGAAGGAAGGGGAATATATAAAGGGAAAACAGCAGCATAATAAAAGATTAAGGATTATTACATACAAAATGTATAGACAATAAATAAGGTGACAAGCTTGTTATAAGTCTTAATTAAAATTTGTAAACCACTTTGATATCCTCAGATGGAAAGCACTACAGAAGTAAATAATTATATTGTCCCCCTACTGGATGTTTTCTCTAACTATATCCTCTTTCCATTCAGATAGCTGAATAACATATGCTTGTGTGCCATCCTGCCAACCAAATCAAGATTTTCTAGGGCCCGTAGAATTTGGGAGTGATTATCAAATTGTCAGGAAAAGAAAAGGCAGCAGTACCTTATTCTATCCAGAGTACATGAAATTGGAGGGGGCATAGATCTGAACTCCAGCCCTCCATTATATTTAAAGGGGTAAATGTTTCCTTAATAGAATTGTGGTAGCTGAAGAATATGGAAGCATCTTGGTGTCCTTTTCCTAGCTAGTACCTTCCTTTCTTCAGCAATCAGGTAGTTCCTTTGGCTAGCATAGGGTCAAGATCCAGGTATAACACTTGACCACAGTTTGTGAAAATTACATGAAAAGTGTTCTCACTACACATTAAGAGAAGGCGAGGAGGGGAAGAGGTGCTATTGTGCTTTTGCAAAAGATATTCAAACAAATATTTTAACTATTAAAGGAGGAGTGAATTAAATGTATATTGTCAAACATCTTATAGAGATTTTAAAATAATAGAAGATGTCCTTCTCACAACAAAGACTAAGCAAACGACTTTTGAATGAAAAGACTTCAAACTTTGGACATAGATTGGTATGCCAAACGTGTAGTGAATTTCTACAACTCAGATCCAAACCTCTAGAAAGAAAGGGGAATATTATTATGATTTAATAATTATACTGCATAGTACCAAGAGCCCCAATCAAATTGGGGTCCTTTTGTGTTTGACACTATCACCACATACAAAGACATGGTCCCTGCCTCAAAGCATTTGTAATCTAGACCCTCCACCTGCAAACACAGATGTCCTTAATTTTAATTTTTCTCCCAAAGGGGACATGTAAAATTAAGTACATAAATAATTGTTTGCAGGATCAGAATCTTTGGCTGCAAAGTCTACACTTAAGGCTTGTCTTCACTACGGAGGTAAATTGACCTAAGTTATGCTACTCCAGCTACGTGAATAGACGTATAAATAGACGCTCTCTGGTCGACTTCCCTTACTTTTCTTGGAGAGCTGGAGTACCGGGAAAGTGCTCTGCCATCAATTTAGTGGGTGTTCACTACACCCGCTAAATTGATCCCTGATGCATCGAGTGCCAGCCCAGAGTAGTACAGGATCTGGACCTAAGAAAACAAGTGACATACAAAAAGTGGGGGAGGAGATTATCAAACATATACAATTATATACATTTGGGGCTTGATTCTCTGCCTGGTCTCAATGGAGAAGGAAGGCTTTCAGGGAGCCATTCCCAGCTCTCTGATTCTCAGCTGCAGACGCCATGAGGTTCTTCAGGTACCTTAAGCCAGAGGAGAATTAGCCATAGTGGAGCTTTTGCTTATCATGCCCCCTCTCATTTCCTCTCCTACTATGCCTGCTCTGTTCCCTTACACTGGGAGATGGTTCTGGGAGATGGGAGATGTAGGAGGCAGCAGAATCATCAACAGTTTTATCCCAGCAGTAATGCACCCAAAGGGAATCTCCAGGTGCTTTAGGTTCTCTTTATGCTGTATAAGTGTATGTAGCACAGAATGATACTGGGGGACTGGAGAATCTGGCTCTTGAAATTATAAATAAATAAAATAAAGTGAATTCAGCTATTCCCATCTGCTCCTCAACTAGGCTTTATTAATTGGCTAATTCTCTATAGGTGTTGCAGAAGAGGGGTGTCTGGAGGAAGGATTTGAAGGAAGATATGATGGAGCTTTTTACAGAAGCTTAACTTGTAGGGGAGTGCTTGTTTTTGCTGAAAAATTGAAAGAGACATATTTTAATACCTCTAGAAAGATATTTTGTGCTCAAGCAAGTGTACTGGATACTTTGGCATACATATGCCAAAAACTTATGATTAGGAACAGTAAAATTATTCTTCGAAAAACTTCAGGTAGCATGAAAATATAGTTGCAAAATCTCAAAATCAGTGTTTAAATTTATGCAGCTAAGATATTACATGGTTTGCCAGCAGATGGCATATTATCTTATTATATCACAGTAGGAAATATTCTCATTATCCTCACAATAGAAAAACTAGCAGAAAATAATTTGAATTTCCCACACATAAAAATGCTTACTTTACACATAGCCTTGTACTGCCTGTTATATGATTTTTATTTTTTATATTTTTATGTTTTATAATCTCATTAAAATGAAATTTTGTCTCTCTCAACTGTCTCAAACGTGATTATATTTATAAAAGTTATATTTAAGTATACTGTCAGTATTTTTTGCATCTGTGTTTAACAGGTTTAAAATGATTGATTTTGTGTAAAGGTCTCTGAAATGTTGAAGCACAGAACAATCTTACAGCAACTGAAAAACCTTCCAGCTGTTCACAAAATAAAATCTACAAATCTCTCTCTCCTGTGGGAGAAAAGCTATCTACTGGATAACAGTTCCCTCTGCTTACACAAGCAGAAAACTCCATTTAACCCTAAGAAAAGGGTATATATAGAGATGATTAATTGTCATCCTAGGTCCCAGTTTGGGCCATCAGAAATGTTGCATACTGATGTATGGGCTATTACATCTTCTAGAAATGTACATTAAAACAGCAAAATATTTTATTAGCTAAAGGGACTCAATCATACATTCAAAAAACAAACAAAAAAAATCATACAGACTCTCCATTCCATATAAAAGAATTCTGTATGGATTCACCCCTTTTAAAATTTTGCTAGATGTTGAAAGGTTCATTAAAATTAGAGTTATTTTAGGAGCTATATAATAGTTGTTCATTTGAGTCCCCACAGAAAAATCAATATGAACTCAGTCCTGCAGCCCTCGGAGGCAAAACTTCCATTAAATTAAATGAGTTTTGCCTGCATAACAAGTTCAGCATTGAACCCACTCTGAGATGCAGCTTTGTCCCTTTATCAGAGGCTCCCTTATTTTGAATACATTGCAAGACAGTTTTTAAAATATATCTTAAGGTTTTTCAATGTGTGTTCCAATAAGACATTTAGTCTATTACAGCTTCCACAAATCTGGAAATATTTTTCTCTTTATATGATTATTGTTTTATACATCATATCTGAGTACTTAAAACTTTCTTTCACTAACATGCACTAAAAATAAATTCTGAATGTGTATGATCTCTAAATTTGTAATCTAGATGCAAACCTGACACTGACCCTACATATAACACATGCTTTCTTTGGCCCCATTACTGCAAAGTTTTATGCCCAAGTACTCCAATTAAAGTTATTGGTACTAATCATGTGCATAAAGTTAAGCCCCTGCATAAATCTTTTTAGGATCAGGGTCTTATTAGAATGTAAGCTCTTGAGGCAGGGAGCCTGTATCTGTCTGAATTTGCACAATAGGCTCCTAATCTTAATTGGGACTTCTGGGGTGCTGCTGCGATATAAGCCGCAAATAATAATTTTACATGACCTTCAATGATTCTAAAGGTTTTTCTCTAGCCCCAATCCTGCAAACAGATGAGCTGGTAAGGTGCCTCATGCTTGTGCGTGGTCTCATTGACTGCAGTGTGTTCCTGTCATTTCAATGCGTCTTCAGGTGAAGGTGAGGGTCTGCATCAGTGTGGGTCTTCGCAGGTTCAGGGTTTATATGAATACAGCACTGGAATACAGCCACCCCAGGGATGGTGAAACATCACCTTAACAACAGTGGAAACCTTAAGCGGTGGGGTGGCTGAAAATAGTGAGACAAAACACTTCACTTGTATGAGAAGTACCACAAGACTTTTGATGCCCACATAAAGCAGGCAGGGCTTTGACGTTGAGTCTCATCTGAAAGATACACACAAAACGTTATACCTGACTTCTCTCTCACAGGTGGAGGAAGGGGTCAGTTGCCCCTACTAGAAGTCGTTAGGAAAGCCCAGGTATTTCAGACTCCATGATTGAGCCAGGCCTCCCAACTGTTCAGGAGAACTTACTGCCCCAAGGCGCGGAGGGGGGAAATAGCAAGGGAGGAATATCCACCACTGCCCCCGTGCAAGGCTCCTCTCCCAAGCCAAGCAGGGCTGAGAACTCTGCAAGGCTGCCAGTCCTGTCCATCCCCGGCTAACCTCTGCGCCTGAAACACTTAATTCCTCCCCCACCCATGACAGCGCCACGCGGCGGAAGCGGGGCTGCTCTCTCGGAGGGGAGGGGGCGAGGGCAACGCCGGCCGGCCTCGCACACGCGTGGCGAAGGCGGCAGCAGCGCGCCGGCCAAACTGCCACTCACACGCGGTGATGAGCGCGGCTGGGCACAGGTTGCGCGGCGGAAGCGCCCGCGGCCCAGGCAGGCAGGAGGAAGAGTCCCCCGCAGCTGCGCAGCGGGACCGCTGGGGGTGCTGTGGGACAGGGGCGTTCCCCCAAGGAGGCGAGGGGCGCAGCCCGGCCCCCGTAGGCTGGGGAGGAGGCAGACTGCTCCCGCTGCCTTCCGTTCATCTGTGCCCCGCCTCTTCGCTGTGCCTCGCGCTCCGATCCGGAGCTGGGCGGGGCTGTTTCCTGAGGCAGGAGACCCCCCCCCCACCCCCCGCAGCAGCGCGGCTGTTCCCTGTACTAGCCTCCCCTCCCCTCCCGCTTCAGGCGGGCTGTTCCCTGAACCAGGCGCTCCCCCTGGCGGGAGGGGCGGGGGCAAGGACTGTCCCGGCCGGCGCTGATCTTAGGCTTCCATTGGCCGCTGTCTGCGCTGACGTCACGATCATGATGAGAATTAATGATCGGAGGCGCTGATTTCATTGTGTGACGCCGGGACCGACCCAGCCGAAACCGGCTGAATCCGGAGCCCCCCGGACCAACTCCGCCCGCCCCACAGAGCACGGTAAGCCCGGCACTGTGCGCGGGGGGCGGGGTATGTGTGTGAGCCCCCACGGAGGGAGGGGAAGCGCCGAAGCGCTCAGCCTGGGCAGGCAGGGCAGCCAGCCCTGGCTGGAGCTGGGGAAGATGCCCCTTGGCTGGGGGCCTGGATGTGGGGGAGGGCGGCCGCTTGGGCTGGTGCTCGTAGAGCAAACTCAGGCACGCATGCGCACTACGGCTCGGTTCTGCTGCGGCAGACGCTGGCTAGCCCCATTCGCCGTTGCGAAGGAAGTACGCATGCGTACGACCGATGTATTCTCGTATGGGCTGACAGTTGCGCATGCTCTGAGGTTGTTGAGCGCTGCTGGTCTGACTGCGCATGCGTGTTCACGTTCGCTTGAGTGATTTCTCACTTTAACCGGTCGGAGTGCGAGGCACTGATTGCAACTCCGCGCACGTTACTGCGTCCTAGGAGCTGGGCCGTGGGCGTTTGCACAGTGAAGGCGTCTTTAAGCCGTTGGAAAATTTTGCGCATGCGCAATGAGGGCTACTTGCGTTGCCTTGTAGTGGGCTGTTAGGACTCACTGACGCTGTTTTCTAGCTGTAATCGTCTAGTGTCAGGGCAGGGTGCGTGGGCTGGGATTGGGGGTGTCCATCCTGCCTGGATCCCCTTTTCTGGCTTGGCTGTATAAATAGTTACTGCTGGTAGCATGGCAGCCTAGGCAGTGGGGTGCAGCTGTGTACAAGCCCCCTGGGGCCATACAGTGGGGATTATGGGGGTGGCAAGAGAATAATTTGAAGCTCATTCTCCCTTGTCTTGGGGCGGGAGGGTTGTGGAGGGTGCTATGTGCTCTCTTTGAGGTGTAAGAGAGCACCTGCAGAAGGCGGGGTGATGGTGGTGGAGAGATTGGGCAAATAACATTGCTCCAATTGCTGCTGTTGTGACATTTTAGCCCTTGGGTGTTTGCTGGTGAAGGGAGATGGTGGGTGGCATGCAGGTTTTCTAGCCTGTGTTTTGAGGTGCTGATGGTGTGACCCTTGGTTTAGGAGCGTCAATATGCAGTGGATAAAGAAAACTGCTTCATGCTGCATCCTAGAAGCCTGAGATATGTCACCCTGTTTAATAAGGCCCTTGATACTCTAATGTATTAAGAATATGCACAATCTACATAAGGAATCGAGTGACCACATGGGGAGTTATTACTGTATAACTATGCTTGTAACATTCCCTGTGCAGATGAGCTGTGAAATGTCTGAGTACTGTATTTGCTTCAGAAGGAGTACTCGTGTGTCATGGATATGTTCAAATTGTTGCAAGATGCAGGCCTAAAGAAATACCTGTTTTGTCAAGCCTTGTTTACTTTAAAATGTTTTGATCAGATTTGCAATTAATTACCTATTTTTTTACCAACACTTTGTTGCAGAAGCTGAATGTCAATCTTTATATTTATTAGTGTTTCTAAATGAAGATCCTGTTTTGTGGCTCTTAGCAGTTAGCACACTCAGACTCTTAAAAGGTTTATAGCACTATCTTCCCATATGCTCCTTTAAATTATTTACAAATAGTGTTAATCATGCAGATAGAGTAAACTAAGAACCAATTACTTTTTGCTTTGCACATGAGTACAACCACTATTTTGAGTAATGAGTAAAGTAAGAACGGCCATATTGGATCAGACCAATGATCCATCTAGTTCAGTATCCGGTCTTCCTGGTATTGGCCACTGTTGGTGCTTCCGAGAGCATGAACAGAACAGGCAATCATCAAGTGATCCATCCCCTATTATCCAGTCCCAGCTTCTGGCATCAGAGGCTAGGGACACTCAGAGTATGGGGTTGCATCTCTAACCATCTTGGCTAATAGCTATTGAGGAACCTATCCTCCATGACCTTATCTAATTCTTTTGTGAACCCTATTATAGTTTTGGCCTTTACAACATACCCTGGCAACGAGTGCCATGGTTGACTCTGGGTTAGATATACCTAGCTCATAGAACTGGAAGGGACCCCGAAAGGTCATCGAGTCCAGCCCCCTGCCTTCACTTAGCAGGACCACGTACTGATTTTTGCCCCAGATCCCTAAGTGGCCCCCTCAAGGATTGAACTCACAACCCTGGGTTTAGCGGGCCAATGCGGGGTTGTGGGAAGAAATACTTCCTTTTGTTTGTTTTAGACTGGCTGCCTATTAATTTCACTGGGTGACCCTGATTCTTGTGTTATATGAAGGAGTAAATAACACTTATTCACTTTCTCCACACCATTCATGATTGACTTGGATTTATCATGTAGGCCCTGATCCTGCTAAGATTTAAGCATGTACATAGCTTGGATACGCCTAGTGGACGTAATGGGACTACTCATGCTTAAACTTAAGCATTTGCCTATGTGTCTGCAGGATACTTCTTACTACAGTATGGTTTTTTGCATTTCTCTCAGATTGGAAATGAAAACAGGCTAGTCTACCATGAGAACTTTCTGACTTCTGGTAGTATTATTCAAAACAGTTTTCATGGAAAAAATTCTGTTGGTATCTACATTTAGTAAATTGTCTCTTAAACTTTTTATAAAACCGAAATTTTAGGCAGACCTTTTCTGATGGTGATCTTTTAAAATAACCTACACCTTTGGAGCAATTGTAGTTAATTATTCCTTGCTTGTTTGGAGTATCGTAGTTTTATGAAGTAGGCAACGATGGTGCAAACTTATGCACAAGCTTAACTTTAAGCAGGTGACTAATCCAGTTGATGTCATTAGAACTTTCATGAGTAAAGTTAAGTACATGCATAAGTGTTAGCAGGATTGGGGCCAACTCTAGTTGGATCCACACATGCTCAGCTTCGATAAAGGATTGAGTTCTAAAAGCTAAAATGCTGGTAGTTCAGTGACTGTAGCCTATTACACAGTGAGTACTTTAGGTAGAGGAAAAAGGATGTTTCTATACTCCTAGTCAATATACAGTAAAAGCTGTTTTATCCAGTTTGTTGGGGAAATGGCGGGTGCCGGTAAGTGAAAAATGCTGGTTAACTAAGAGAGAGGGAGTTTGGGTGTGGAGCTGGGGGTTGCAGCACAGGAGGGTGTGCGAGATGAGGGCTCTGGGAGGGAGTTTGGGTGCAGGAGGGGGCTCGGGACAGCAGGTTGGGGCGCAGGAAGGGGAGCTGAGTGCCGGATCTGGGAGGTGCTCACTTCGGGCGGCTTCCCGCAAGCAGCGACCTGTCTTGGCTGCTCCTAGGCGCAGGCGTGCGCTGTCTCCGCCTGTAGGTGCCACCCCCACAGCTCCCATTCTCTGCGGTTCCCAGCCAATGGGAGCTGCAGAGCTAGTGCCTGGGGTGGGGACAGCGCACAGAGCCGCCTCCGCCTAGGACAGGGCTGGGCAAACTTTTTGGCCTGAGGGCCACATCTCGGTATGGAAGTTGTATGGAGGGCCGGCTGGGGCAGGGGTTGTGGCACACAGGGAGGATGAGGGTTCCGGCTGGGGGTGCAGACTCTGGGGTGGGACTGGGGATGAGGGGTTTGGGGTGCAGGAGGGTGCTCCGGTCTGGGATCAAAGGGTTTGGAGGGCGATCAGGGCTGGGGCAGGCAGTTGGGGCGTGGCTCAGGGGTGCAGGATCCGGTTGGCCCTTATCTGAAGTGGTTCCTGGAAACAGCGTCCCGTTTCTGGCTCCCATGCCAATGGAAGCTGCAGAACTGGCGCCTGGGGCAGGGGCAACATGAGGAGTCCCCTGGCTGCCCCTGCTTCCGGGAGCCGCATGGAGCTGCTGCATGAGCGGAGCAAGGCAAGTCCCCGGCCCCGCTCCCTGGCTGGAGCACCGGAGCGGGGAAAGCTCCCAACCCTGCTCCTCAGCAGGAGCTCGAGGGCCATATTAAAAGGTCGGACGGGCCGGATGTGGCCTGCAGGCCATAGTTTGCCCACCCCTGGCTTAGGAGCAGCCAGGACAGGTCGCCACTTGTGGGGAGCCACCTGAGGTGAGCATCCCCCTTATCTGGCACCCCTCACTCCCTCCTGCACCTGAACCTGCTGCCCCAAGCCCCCTCCCGCACCCAAACTCCCTCCCAGAACCCATGCCCCGCACACCCTCCTCCGCCCCAACTTCCTGCTGGCCAACCGGACTATAAATCGGAATTTCAATGAAGATCAGAAATGCCAATTTATAGAGCTTTCCAGTTGGTGAAGTGCCAGATAAAATAGCTTTTACTGTAGTTAAAAGCAACAGTATCAAATCAATTAGAATACCACATGTTAGTTTCTAGTTATTTGGAGTTCTGATTATTATAGATAACTGCTGCCCCTCCTTTATGTAACTCACAGAATACATAATATTCAGGTTCTATTGAACGTTATTGTAAGTTTGGTCCCTTGTATGCTTGCATACAGACTGTGTGTCCTGTGGTTTTTTTTTTAACTGATTTTATGGCAAACGTAGAACAGAAAACTTTTGAACTGTTGACTGGGAATTGAAAGGGAAGCGAATGAATATAATTTTAAAATGCAGGGCTCTAATTCTATGGCTGATACTAAGCATCTGTACTGGCAATTTATTTTGTCTATGTATGTATCTTTAAATACATTTTACTGATTGCAATTGTCTCATTTTTAGGTTTTTTATATCAGACTCTTTGGAGATTAGTATCACTTCTGGAAATCTGCATTGTCAAAAGTAGAGCATAAAGAGTGACATTGTATCTACTGTATCTGCTTTGTGTATCCAGACTATAATAAATATGAGGGAATATTTACAGGCCAATATGGCATGTGAAAAGATAAATTGTAATGAAAGAAGAATTCTGTGGGGTTAAGGTTAACCTGTTAAAATGTATGGAGTAATGGCAGGGAATGAGTACTGTACTTCAAGCCCTGATGCTTCCATTATGTCCATTAATGGTAACACTCTCTTTTCTTGACTATCAACACACTAACTTAACCTGTGTTTTCCTTTTAAATTATTAAATTCTTTGTTTAAGACTATAGAGGCTCCTAGCAGCTCCATAGTTAAGGTTGTGTTGAGTTTTGCACTGAAGTGTATATCC